GATAAATATTAATTGGCGCTCGCCGGGCACCAGCGCGGCCTGTCGGTGGGGCTATTAATCTCACCCCCCTGGCCTCTCATTTACTGCCCACCGTGCCTTCGACAAGACAACACGAGCAGGGTGCCCGAGGGGCGTCTGCGGGGAAGCAGGGGGCACCGCGTGGGCCCATCTCTGCCCCGACCGATGCCTCGTTCTGGCGCTGGCTACGGCTAGAGACACCGGATCCCCCGCAAGCATCAGATTCCAGAGCCTGGCGTCCCGCGCTGCGTCTGGGCTGAGGGGCCTCCTTAATTACTTTCTCGGAAACTCAGCGGCCTGGGCTTCTGCGGCAGGCAGGCGGGCAGGCGGGCGCTTCTCCCGCGGCCCCTCCCATGGCAAGTCTTTGATTTTGTGCTCAGTTGCAAATGAAGTCCTGTGTTGAGCCGTCCCTACAGTGCCCACGGTCCTGCCCCGCGACCCAGACGGGGCGGCCAGTGCACTCTCGGAGGCTGGGCTGGGCGGCCAGGGGGTGCAATGTGGGTGACTTTCCCTTTGCTATTACTGGAGTAAGGATGGGGTAGAGGGTTTCTTTTTTACGTTTTAACTGATTTAAAAAGGTACTGAGAGTTGAGTGTTAGGCAAACAATATTTCCGCAGCAGTCCCAAGTGTCAAGTTCCCTGGACCAGTTTCCCGCCCCACCCCCTGCCTGTCACTGTCACCTGTCAGAGTCCCAGGGGCTGCAGCTTACATCTCCTGTTTTCCGTGTTGTCGCATCTGCTCTGGGTCTCCGGCTCTGCCACTCCTGTCTCCGGATAGCTGACGCCAGGAGGCCTGTTCACCATCACGTCCCATATCTTCTCCCCCCTTGACTTCTTTCCTTCCCTTTCTCCTCGTTAACCGCTGGGATCAGGGGAGACCTAGGCATCCCTGTTTTGCTCCATTTCCTCGTCCACTCGGCAGTATTCCACAGATACGAGGGACCATCCTGGGCTTGTCTTTCTTCTTCTTGGTTGGCTTTGCTCAACCGGGCATCTTCCACTTCCAGCCACATTGTAGTGAACTGCATGGTTTCATCTTTCCTGGCAGCTGCACTGTGTTGATATGCCCCATCTTCACCATCCACTCATCTGCCGTTGGACACCCAGGCTGATTCCCACCTTAGCGGGGTCCTGAGGGCAGTAATGAATACCAGTGGTAGAGGGTGTTTTTCCTGAAGAAATGGGACCTTCTGTGGCCGATGAGGCCGAGTCCGTAAATCCACACTGGCACGTTAGCCCTGAGTGGCTAGAGAACAGGGGAACAGAGCCGCATCTGGACACAGTGCTGAGGGACTGTCAGAGGCCTTGGAGTTGGGCAGGGGGTCCGGCGCTTGCCTTGCACAATGCCCATCTGCATTCAATTTCTGATATCCTGTACAGGCCCCAAACCCCACCGGGAGGAATGCCTGAGCCCAGTGCCAGGAGTTGCCCTGGGTGTGACCCAAGAACAAACATAACACAGAACAAAGGTCTTGGAGTAATTCTACTATTAGGGGTTCAATAGACAACACATCTTGCTGGACAATAGAATAATGGATAGAAGAAAGACAGGGAGGGACAGACAGGGAGATGGGTAAATGGATGGGTGGACAGTTGGCTGGGTGGTTGAATGGATAGGTGGATAGATGGGTGGCTAGGTAGATAGATGGGTGGGTGAATGATGGATGGTTGGGCAGACGGATGATGATGGGTAGATGGAACAGATGATGGAGGGAGGGAGGGAGAGTTGGGTTATGGGCGGATGGATGGGTGTATTGATGAACATTTGATGGGTGAATGGATGGATGGATGGATGGGTGGATGGATGGACGGGTGGATGAATGGATTGATGGGTGGATGAGTGGATGGATGATGGGTGGGTGGGTCGATGGACGGATGGTTTAGGAGCTTGGCCAAGGCAATGGAGATTATAGAAAAGTATCTGAGATTCAAGACTCCCAAAGCTTCTTCCCATATGCTTAGTTCGGCTAACACTGAACAGAGTTAGTCAAGCCCCCTAAGAAAACATCCGGGGAAGCACTTATAGCTACACTGGCAGCTTGGGGGCATGGTGGAGAGAAGGTTCTGGGCAGGGAGGGAGAGGCTAGAGTCGCCTCATACAGGGGGGATACTAGTTGGTGAACGTCCAGCCTTGTGGGATCCCCCACTGGACGGGGCACCCGTCTGTCCATCTCAGTGGGTGCCCAGGCTGAGGACAGATGTGTCCCTCAGGGCAGCGGGGGTCGAGTGTCTCTCTCACCCGGCTGCCTGTGTGCGGCTGTGCCTACCAGGCTGGTGACCAGCCAGAGTGTCCAGAGACAGCAGGGCCTTAGCTGGGCCCCCAGTTTGGGGGTGCCATGAGTGTCGGGGTGGGCCACAGACTGCACAGGGCACAGTTGATGAGACACAGAAGCCCAGAAGGGCCTTCCGGACTCTTGGGTGGCCTGAGGCCTGACCCTGCAGCCTGAACTCTGTCTGGGAACGTGTTCCCAGGCTGCCGATCCTGCTGGCCTCTCAGGTTCACTTCCTGGGGTGAAGCCCAGGCCCACTCCCCAGCCTGGTAGTACGGCAGCCGGCGGCCAGGCTCAGCCCAGATCCCAATGGCGCAGGATCAGCTTCAGCAGCTAAGAGACTGTTCAGGGGTTAATGCATTCGCCTTGAACATGGCCACCCCCAGCTCGGCCCACAGCACCCTGTGCTTCCCTCGACACCCCCAAAAGGGGCCCTCGAGCACCGAGCACCACCAGCTATGGCCCAGAATGCCTCAAAAATCTGGGGCCGGAGTGATAGCACAGCGGGTAGGACATTTGCCTTACATGTGGCAGACCTGGGTTCAATCCCTGGCATCCCATATGGTCCCCCGAGCACCTCCAGGAGTAACCCCTGAGCAACGCTGGGTGTGACCCAAAAAGCAAAAAAAAAATCCATCTGAGGGACCAGAGAGATGGGACCACGGGGAAGGTGCGTGCCTCGACGTGGCTGACCTGGGCTCAATCCCCGGCATCCCGTAGGGTCTCCTGAGCCTGCCGGGAGTGATCCTGAGCACAGAGCCAGGAGTCAGGTAGTCCCTGAGCACTGTCAGGTAGTCACTCAACGAATCTTGGGGTTCCCCCCCAAAACGAAACAAAACAAAATTCATTTTAGAAGGTTTGCGCGAGCACCTTTGGGTCAGCGTGTGTACCCCAATACTCCTCGGGACCCTGCTGTTTCCTCTCAAGAGCCCACCCCCCTGGCATTACATAGTTATTCAGTCACTAAAATATGGACTAATTGACTCTGTTTCATTGGCTTTTGGGTTCAGCCCCACTGCTTTAGAATAATGGCCCAGCTATTAAGTAACGGTTTGGTTTACAGGCTCTGGTACCCTTAATGCCAGGATCAGTCTCCTTTCCTGGGGTCTCTGGGGTCCCCCAGAATCCCTAATAGAACAGGGTGGGGGGTCCGCAGGCGGTGACGCCCGAGAAAGAGCAGATTAGTGAGAGCTGCTGAAACTAAAGAAAGGATTTTCCTGGCTGCTTCGGGCATCCTTACAAATCATAGCAGGCCGGAGAGTTAAGTCTGGTAAAGCCCCGAGCGGGCGCCCGCCTCGCCGCCTGCCACAAGCCCGTCGGAGGGCTTGCCCTCGGCCCCATGAGCCCCGTCACTGTTCCGGCCCCTGCAAGGTCACCAGCCACCACCTGCACTGGGTGCATTTTTGAGAGCCTGTCACTCTGGGGCCTGAGCATCACCCAGTCCCCCGGGCCCAGCGTGCAGCGCACCAGGCACAGCTGAAGCCTGTCACACGCGGGACCCGGGCTCGGGAAGGATGATTCACAGGCGCGATGCCACTGGCGTTTCGCCCCTAAACACAGAAGCCCCCATTAGCACCAGACCCGCTGTCTGGCTGGAAGCATGAAAGCAGCAATTTAATTGGTGTTATGCAAGCGGGCACCTGGGAGGCTCGGGATGGGGGGACCTGCGTGCCTCGATATCGCCACGAGTCACAAATAGCCGAGTGAGCGAGCGGAGGCTCTGGGGACAGGGGCGAGCAGAGAGGGGACCGGCCGGGAGCGGCAAGTGCCTGGAGCAGAGTCCGGAGCGGGGGTCCCTGCGTGGAGGTGTGGGGGCTCTGGCTTCCAACAGGCCCAGCCCTGAGGGGGGCGGCGGTGGGGGGCCCTCCCACCGTCCACAGAGCTCTTCTCCATGCGGGGGGAGGGGGAAGCTTCCACACTCCATGTTGGAAATGAAGCAGAAAAGAGTGAGATGCTGGAGCCATAGCACAGTGGGGAGGACGTTTGCTTTGCATGCGGCAGACCCGGGTTCGATCCCCGGCATCCCATAGGGTCCCCCGAGCACCGCCAGGAGTGATTCCCGAGTGCAGAGTCGGGATAAGCCCTGAGCATCGCCGGGGGTGGCCTCAAAGACAAAACAAAATAGAGTGAGACGCGTGTGGGGGCGGGGCCGTTTCTTCTCTGGGGACAGCGGCATCCATCGGCATCCAGGGCTGAACCTGGGGCGCTGGCGGGACTTTGGCAGCCCCTCCCTCCCGCACACCCCAGATCCCATGTCAGCCACACACACAGAAGCTGCAGGCTCAGTGGGGTTTGGGGCCAATGTCCCCCCGCTCCCGTGCCATTCTGGATGTCCCCTCTTCTGAGTCTCCTCACGCCTCTGACCCTCTGGCTCTGTCCTGCCGCCCCTCTGGATGGGGTGCTTGGACCCCAGGGGCCTGGCTCGGCCCCACTGCGTGTGGCCGGAAGCATGAGGGTTTCCGTGAGGCCCACTCGGAGGCTGACCCCCCACTCTCCCCAGGAAGCCCCGTCAGCCCCCCTGTGATCACAGCTCACCCCCCCTCAAACCCCTCAGCAGACGGGCAAATCCGCCTACTTCACTTTCCCCGGGGACCCCCTCCTGTCAGGGGGCCCAGTGCCCGGCACTGTTATAGCCGGCACTGTTATAGCCGGCGCGTGGTGGTTGGGAGCCCTGGGACCCAGCTGGGGGCAGCGGGGGTGGCGGGGGCTGACCTTCTGGAAGCGCGGCAGGTGCCAGAGGCCCTGGGGCTGAACCGGCGGCTGGTACCTCCTCAGCTGGCAGCTCCGCGTCTCGTAAAGCTTCCCCAGGTTCACCTGCAGGGGCCAAGGCGGGTCTCAGAGCTCTGGGTGGGGGGCACCCCGCGCCCCTCGCCAGGCCCCGAGTGGGGCTGCACTCACCTTGTGCTTCTTCTCCAGCTTGATGGCCTTGCGCGTGGCCTTCTGCTCCTGCACCCACAGTTGCTGGTACTGGTGCCGCAGCAGGTCAAACAGGGGCGTGGACGGGCTGGGGAGAGACACCGGGTGTGGGACTAAGGAGGGGTTCAGGTCTAATGCGCCCCCCCGCCGGGGAAGGACGCTCCCCATGTCACAGACAGGGGTCCAGCTCTCCTAAGCCAAGTGGCCACTGCGGAGGCTGAGCCAAGAGTCCACTCACCCGTGGCCAGCCTGGTCTGCCTCTCCAGCCTCCCGCAGGCTCTGTGAGTACCCGGGGTTTTCCATCCACTCGCCCCCCATGCTGTGGGTGCTTGGCCTGAGCCAGGAGGTGGGGCCGAGCCCAGTTCTATGCTCACATCTCCTTCCCTGCCTCCCTGGCCCTCGGAGCCTGGCCTGGTTCCCTTGGGAACCCTACGCCCTCCCGGCAGACACTGAGTGCCTCACCCCCCCTTTTTTTCTTTTGCTTTTTGGGTCACACTCCTGACTGCACTCAGGAATCACTCCTGGCGGTGCTCAGGAGACCCTATGGGATGCCGGGGATTGAACCCCGGGTCAGTTGTGTGCAAGGCAAATGCCCTCTCCGCTGTGCTGTCACGCCTCCCCTTTTGCATGCCCACCCCTCTGAGGTCCGGGAAGCAGGCACATGCCCCAGTCCTCTGCCCCGTCCTCGCTGAGGGGGTGAGCACCCCAGGGGTGGCCTGGAAACCAGCCCAGCCCCACGCGGCCCTGGCAGCCCACTGGGCTCGCTCTAAGCAGGAGCCAGACCATGACGCCCACACAGCCCGGAGACCAGCCCGTTACAACAGGCCCCGGGCCTGGCCCCGCGTCTCAACAGTGACCACTTCCAGGATGAGTGAACCCCCCGGAGCCCCCTAACCGGAGACTGGCCGCCTCCCGCAACCAGGCCAAACCCTCTCCCGGCTCTTTCCCACCTGTGCAGGGACTGCATCCCCACAGCCTCTTGGATTGGCCTGTTGGCTTCCCCAGGAGCAGACATGAGACTGGGACTCTGAGAAGGAGAGCTGGACACGTGGGCAAAGGGCACAGGGCACCAGAACACACACTGGCACAAGGAGGGTGTCGGGGCTGGGGATCGCACCCCATGCTCTGAGGCTGGAGGAAAGTACTTATGAGAGAGAAAGTTCTTAAAGGGTGTGTATGATGACCACTCAGCATCTGTACTGCAGGCCAAAATGCCTAAAGTGAGGGGGGGGAGAGAGAGAGAGAGAGAGAGAGAGAAGAGGAGAGGAAGGGAGAGAGAGGGGGAGAGGGAGAGAAAGAGGAGAGAGGGAGAGGAAGAGGAAGAGAGAGGGAGAGAGGGGGGAGAGGGAGAGAGAGAGGAAGAAGGAGAGGGAGGGAGGGAGAGAGAGAGGGAGAGGGGAAGAGGGAGGGAGAGAGGGAGAGAGGGATAGAGAGAGGGAGAAGAAGAGGGAGAGAGGAAGGAGAGAGAGGAAGGGAGAGAGAGGGAGAGAGCGAGGGAGGGAGAGAGAGGGAAAGGGAGAGGGAGACAGGGAGGGAGGGGGAGAGAGGAGAGGTGCCTGCCGCAGATGCGGGCTGGGATGGGTGGATTTGAGGGGGTGGGAGGGAAAATGGGGACATTGGCGCTGGGAAATTACACTGGTGGAGGGATGGGTGTTGGAACATTGTATGACTAAAAACCAATCATGAACAATTCTGCTCTGTCTCACATTGATGCAATTAAAAAAAACTAAATAAAAGAGAGAAAGCTCTTATAAGGGAAGTTCTTATAGGGAGAAAGGCCACGAGGCCCCAAGAGCACACAGCAGCCCCCAGGGAGCCCCTCATCCAGACACCCCGTGGGACCCTCGGATGGTCCTGCAGGCTCCTGGGTCTTGGGCACCTCTGGCAACGGTGCCTCTTTGTCCCGTCCAGCCCACAGCCTTGGGGCGGGGCCGCAGTCCCAAGCACCCGCAAACAGGAGCAGCTCCCCAGCAGGCGAGAGGGGGGACCTGGAGAGCCCCAGGAGGCCCAGGAAGTGGGGTCCTGCTCCCCAAACAGGCACCAGGGAAGTGTGGCCGCAGCGGGAACTCCAGAAGGGGTTCTGAAGTAAAAACAAAAAGGGAAGAAAGGAAGGAAGGAAGGAAGGAAGGAAGGAAGGAAGGAAGCCACATTGTAAAGGGGAACTGAGTTGGCTGCTGGTCACAGCATATATGACTATTCGTATTTTCCGATGGAAAGATAAAAATAGAACTTATTTTATTTGTGGCTTTTGGGTCACACCCAGCAGTGCTCAGAGCTTACTCCTGGCTTTGTGCTCAGGGGTCATTCGTGGCTGGCTCTGGGGACCATCTGGGGTGCCGGGGATCGAACCTGGACCTGAGCTCGCCTGTACTACCTCTCTGGACCCTAAAATGAATTCAAATAAGAACTGGTTTCTGCCGAGGAGGGAGTGAGTAGAAAGAAGGAAAGGAGACTAGGAGGAGACAACGTTTGTGTGCTTGTGTGTTTGCGTGTGGGCCACACGCGGCAGTGTGTGAGCGTGACGCAGCTGCAGCTCGCAGTGCCAGGGTCAGGCCCACCCCTCGGCGCCCTCCGCAGGGCCCTGGACTCCACTGTCCCGCCTTTGAAGCTGTTTCCATTGGTCTTTATGCACATTTCCACACGGAAACGTTTTCTTTGCAAAAAAAGAGACTCAGTAGAGAAAATCACTCCCAGATAAGAAGAGTCAGGAAAGCAACGAAGGCAGCAGAACCAGGGACACTGAGCCCAGCTGGCACCAGAGGGGCACTGGGCAACCTCGCCCAACGGTGACATTTCCTGGAGCCAGGAAGAACCCCAGGATGTTGCGGCGGTGTCACTTTGGAAGCGTTCTCTCTTTGCTCAGGAGGGTAAAGCAGACTCGTAATTGTGTGTATGCCTTCAGAGACACAATATTAGGTCTAAGAAGAAATACAAAAGCAGAGAAGTAGAGGCACCATCCACCCCCTCATCTGAGCTGTCAGCATGAGGCGCTCATTTCTTTCACTGCTGGTGCCCAGATTCTGCTGTTTACTGTTTCCCGCCCTGAGGAATCCCAAGGCACCGGAGATGGGCATTGAAAAGAATAAATGGTCCCGAGTCGAAATGCACGCATGGAGGCCCAAGCCAGGGTTCAGCAGGAAGGGCACTTGCCTTGCATGCAGCGGACCCAGGTTCGACCCCTGGCATCATCCCGTGTGGTTCCCCGAGCCTGCCAGGAGTGATTCCTGAGCATAGAGCCTGGAGTTACCCCTAAGCACTGCTGGGTATGGGCCCCCTGAAAAAAAAGAAATGCATATATGTAAGGTGCACTTCAGTCTCTGCAGGTGCGTGTGTGTGAGTCTCTAATGTGGCAGGGAGGAAAGGCCTCCTGTTAATCTTGCACTTGACCCTGATCACCAAGTCCTTGCTCTGGAATAAAGCCATCATAGCTAGCGTGGCGTTTCCCTGCCTGTGCAGGAAGGAAGCCATCATGGCTAGCGTGGAGTTTCCCTGCCTGTGTGGGAAGGAAGCCATCATGGCTAGCATGGTGTTTCCCTGCCTGTGCGGGAAGGAAGCCATCATGGCTAGTGTGGCGTTTTCCTGCCTCTGCTGTCAGGGCTTGCACTGCAGGAGCCAGACAGTGCGAGGGGAGGTGCTTTGCCAAGAGACTACATTGAGAGGCAGGAGAAGCGTGAATTGGTGGGGACCGGAGCTGTGCATTTCCTAATGAATCACAGCCCGGGCCAGAGCCTCCCGCGGCTGCTAGGTGCGGTGTCCGGCAGCTGCTGAATGGCGATGAAGGAGCTGCAGGTGTGTGTGGGCATTTGGTGGGGCAGCGGGGGGCACGTGGGTCTGAGTGTCCAGCAGGGCTCGCACCGCCCGTCTAGCTCATCGACCTCATTTCACAGACCAGGGGCAGAGGTGGGGTGGACGGGGCAGAGGCCGAAACTGGAAGAAAACAGGGCCTTAGGACACCCCGTCCTCTTGACACTGAGACCCCCTGGGCCGACAGAGAGCTCAGCGTGATGGTGCTTGTTCCGCACCATGAGTACTTCCCCAAGGCTGCGAGGGGGACCCTGAGTTCAGAGCCAGGAGCATGCCCTGAGCACGGCTGGGGAGGCCCCCAAACTAACAAAAGGCTTGAAGGCTGGGAAATTTTCCATTGGGAATCCAGCTTCCTGCGCAGGGGTGGGCTGGGTGAGCTGCGGGGCTCTCTGCCCAGACCTCCCTCCTTCCTCCCCGCTCCACTCCGGGCCCTCTGCATGGGGTTTTGGTGGCTCCAGGCAGACGTGAGGGAGAATGACCTTGGTCCAAGGCAGAATCCTTCTGGGCCTGAAATATTGCACGCACCCCACATCCTCCCATCTGCCGGTGCACACATGATGACACTAGCACACACATGCTCACAGGCACACACATGCTCACGTACTCTCATACAGACATGCACATGCTCACACAAGCATGCACTCACATGCATACGAACTCACATGCACACACACTCACATGCATACATGCTCACACATGCATACACACGCTCACATACAGTCACATGCACACACTCTCATATGCACGCACACACTCACCTGAACACGTGCTCACACATGCGTGTGCATGCTCACAACAAACATGTACACACGTTCACACATGCATATACACGCTCACTCACATGCACACACGCTCACAACACACTCACATGCACAGACATTCATACATGCTCGCACAAACTCACATGCACACACGCTCACTCGCATGCATGCTCACGCTGCTCTCACACTCATACACACGTGTGCATGCACAGAGATCTCTTCTGCATGAGCTGAGCAGAGCACGGCCAGAATAACTGTGAAAGGCCGCTTGTGCCCTGAGGTCCCTCTGCAGAGCAGCCCTCCGGACCACGAGCACCCAGCGGCCCCTCATTCCGGAGCTGACCCCCACCCGCCCAGCTATAGCTGCTTTCTACCAGCAGGAGACGCCCAGTCTCGCATGGCTGGCCTCAGGCTGTTCAGGACAAGAAGCAACTGCCCTCAACCCCGACCGCACACGCGGCCACCCAGCGCCAGGACAGCACCCTGGCCTGTTCATCCTGCAAAGAAGCAGATAGGACTGGGG